GTCTGTGATGCCTAATAGGTAATATTCTGGTTTTCTTGGGAATGTCATTCCAAGTATTTTTGAGACTCTTCATGTATATGTCGAAGGCTTTCATGGCCGGAATCACTGGGTTGTTGTAGGTTTTTTCGGGCTATATGGCCATGTTCTGGAGACAATTTTTCTCCTGAAGGCGAAACATCAGGAGAAAAATTGCCTCCAGAACATGGCCATATAGCCCGGAAAAACCTACAACAACCCAGATACATGTATGTTTGTGTGTTTATAGTCACAAGAGCCAATGCTGTATAGCAGTGTTTCTCAACCTTCCTAATGCCGCAACCCCTTAAAACAGTTCTTTATGTTGTGGTGACCCCCAACCATAACATTATTTTCGTTGCTACTCCATAACTGTAATTTTGCTACTGTTATGAATCATCATGTAAATATCTGATATGCAGGATGTATTTTCATTCACTGGACCAAATTTGGCACAAATACCTGATACGCCCAAATTTGAATACAGGTGGGGTTGGGAGGGGGATTTTGTCATTTGGGAGTTGTAGTTGCTGGATTTATAGTTCACCTACAATCAAAGAGCATTCTGAACTCCACCAACAGTGGAATTGAACCAAACTTGGCACACAGAACTCCCATGACCAACAGAAAATACTGGAAGGGTTTGGTGGTCATTGACCTTGAGTTTTGAAGTTGTAGTTCACCTACATTCAGAGAGCACTGTGGACTCAAATAATAATGGATCTTAGGGCTGGGCGGTTTCATTTCGTAATTTCGTAATTCGTTAAAAATTCGTTATTTTTTTTATAACGAAGCGATATTGAACCATTCAGGAGCAACTAAAAAACGAAACGAATTTTTCCAATTCGTTTCGTTATTGTTTCGAAATTGTAATTGTTTCGAAATTGTTTCGTTATTATTTCCGCATGTCTGGTGCAAGTTTTAGGGTTGCTGTTTGTTTTATCAGTGAAAAAAAATATAATTATCACACCAACAGTCAACAACAGAGGGAGAGGGAAGCTTCAGAAGTTTTTTAGCATATTGCGCGATCGCGGCCGCCATTAACGAATCGATTCGTAATCGATTCGTAATTGTTTCGTAATTGTTTTATGATTTCCGAAATTTCGTAAATATCGAACTTTTTTCAAGGAAAATTTCGGTATTCTTTTAAATAACGAAACGCAAAAAACCCCTAAAAACGAATTGAGTTTAGAAACAAATTTTTCCGTGTTTGGACAGCCCTAATGGATCTGGGCCAAACTTGGCACAAATACTCAATTTACCCAAATGTGAACACTAGTGGGGTTGGGGGGAAATAGACTTTGACATTTGGGAGCTGTAGTTGCTGGGATTTATAGTTTACTTACAATCAAAGAGCATTCTGAACTCCACCAGCGATGGATTTGAACCAAACTTGGCACATAGAACTCCCATGACCAAGAGAAAATACTGGAAGGGTCTGGTGGCGTACATTTTGGAGTTGTAGTTCACCTACATCCAGAGAGCACTGTGGACTCAAACAATGATGGATCTGGACCAAACTTGGCACGAATACTCAATCTGCCCAAATGTGAACACTGGTGGAGTTTGGGGAAAATAGACTTGACATTTGGGAGTTGTAGTTGCTGGGATTTATAGTTCACCTACAATCAAAGAGTCCCCTTGAACTCCACCAATGAAAGAATTGGGCCAAACATCCCACACAGAACCCCCATGACCAACAGAAAATACTGTGTTTTCTGATGGTCTTTGGCGACCCCCCTGACACCCCTCGCAACTTGAAAAAAAACTGATGTAGATAGTGGCACAGTGTTTCCCTTTTAAATACCACGTCCCAACCAATATTTCTTTTGGAAAGATGCAATGGAGTAATTCTTTCCCATTCTTGGGCTTCTTCCTCGAATGTGGCACCATCGTTGACAGGTACCATCCCTACCAGGGATTCCTAAATTACAACTTGTGGCAGTCGATTCATAAATGATTCCCTTTGTAAATCAGCTGCTATCAAGCAACTCTCCAAGAGTGACAACTACCCATTAATTATTCCCTTTGAAAGTTCCCCTCCCTGTCACTCATTCGCAGCTTGGCTCAGGCAGCCCCCTTCTAAGACAGTCACCATCTGAAACGATAACAACAGACATCAGCGTAATAAGAAAATATGGGCCAACTGTGCAGCAGAATGGGGTTGAAGATGGGATGTCAAAAGGTTCTGCACGCCTGTGCTATTTTTGAGAGAAGGAGAACAATACTTGAAATATGCGTTATTTCAACAGTCGCTGGAAGCAAACAAAGCTTCTTTGTTTGGGCTCATCTGAGTTGCTAACTATGGATAAAAACAGGATGCAGTTTTGCTACAATACGTGCTATTATATCGTTCGAACAACATCACTGACGACTACATTTGACTATAAAAGATTCACGACAAACTATTGTTGCATGCCTTCAAGTTGTTTCTGACTTATTGCAACCCAAATACAGCTTTTTTGGGTCAAGATTTGTTCCGAGGGTGTTGCTCTCATCTGAGGCTGAGAAATTGTGATTCGCCAAGACTGCCATTGTGTTTGTGTAGCTGATCGGGATTCGAACCCTGGTCTCCAGGACCATAGTCCAATGCACTCAAATCACTATACAACACTGGCTTTCCTGACTACAAACACACAAACATATATGTATCTGTTTTCTTGTGGAGCACTGCACCTTTCAAACCCTCTGGACCAGTGACTCTCAACCTGGGGGTCACGACCCCTGGGGGGATCGTGAGGGATTGTCATAGGGGTCACCAAAGACCATCAGAAAATATAGTATTTTCTGTTTGTCATGGGGTTCTGTGTGGGAAGTTTGGCCTAATTCTATCATTGTTCTATTTTTGATTGTAGGGAAACTACAAATCCCAGCAACTACAACTCCCAAACTGATGGAACAAATTCCATCAGTGTTCACATCTGGGCATATTAAGAATCCTTGCCAAGTTTGGCCCACATCCATTATTGTTTGAGTCCACAGTGCTCTCTGGATGTAGGTGAACTACAACTCCAAAAGGTCAATGACCACCAGACCCTTCCAGTATTTTCTGTTGGTCATGGGAGTTCTGTGTGCCAAGTTTGGCTCAATTCCATCGTTGGTGGAGTTCAGAATGCTCTTTGATTATAGGTGAAATATAAATCCCAGCAACTGCAAATATCAAATGTCAAGATCTATTTTCCCCAAACTCCACCCATGTTCACATTTGGGCATATTGGTTTGTGTGCCAAGTTTGGTCCAGATCTATCATTGTTTGAGTCCACAGTGCTCTCTGGATGTAGGTGAACTACAACTCCAAAACTCAAGGTCAATGCCCACTAAACCCTTCCAGTATTTTTTGTTGGTCATGGGAGTTCTGTGTGCCAAGTTTGGTTCAATTCCATCATTGGTGGAGTTCAGAATGCTCTTTGATTGTAGGTGAACTATAAATCCCAACAACTACAATTCCCAAATGTCAAGGTCTATTTCCCCAAACTCCACTAGTGTTCACTTTTAGGCGTATCGGGTATTTGGGCCAAATTTGGTCCAGTGAATGAAAATACATCCTGCATATCAGATAATTACATTATGATTCATAACAGTAGCAAAATTACAGTGATGAAGTAGCAACGAAAATAATGTTATGGTTGCGGGTCACCACATCATGAGCAACTGTATTAAGGGGTTGCGGCATTAGGAAGTTTGGGCAATGGTTAGTGCATGCAGATTCCTTGGATAGGGTTACTCAAAAGCAAAGCATGGGATTGATGATGGTTTTCTTCTTCCTGCAGAAGACAGCGTGACAGATCCAGGGTTTGCTGCCAGCGATGTTGCAGTGCAGACATGCCCAAGAGTTCAGTTTTGGGCCTCGGGCGCTGAAGGATGCGCTGATCTCAACCAACCCCGCGCTGCAAGAGCTGTATGCCAAGGCCTTCTCGAGTGCCGAGAAACTCTTCCTCTCCGAGGCCTACAATCCCCACCGGACACTTTTCTGCAGCTTGTTCATCAGGACGGCCTTTGACTGGCTTCTCAGCCACCCTGATGCTCCGGAGGATTTTGAAACTTTCTACTACTCGCTGTTGAGGAGAAAGCAACGATGCTACAGGAAACACATATATTTGCAACCTATAGGTAACTGAACACTGGTATTACATAAGATAGGGGTGGCAAACAGTAGATGGGGATCTCTAAGTAAACGTGGGGTTGCCTTTGAAGACTGTCCGGCAGCTTCAAATGGTCCAACGCTCAGCAGCCAGGTTACTAACAGGAGCGGCACTCAGGGAGCATACAACTCCTCTGTTGCGCCAGGTCCACTGGCTGCCAGTTTGCTACCGGGCACAATTCAAAGTGCTGGCGTTAGCCTATAAAGCCCTAAACAGTTCTGGCCATGGTGGCTGAAGGAGTTTGGAAAGCACGGTCCAAAACAATACCCTTCCCGGGCTCTGAACCAACTTCTTTCATATGCTCTGAACCAACTGTGTTGTTGCCACCTTCTTTGTAGACCATGCAAGAACCAGTAATTGACTTCACACTTTTTCTCTAGACCTAAGTGAAGGTCCTGTTGGGATCTCCTTGCTGGATTCCCTCCGCAGCTGTGTCGAATCGTTCTTCCTGGGCCTCCGCGTTAAGTGCCTTCCTTCTGTCCCCGTCTCCTCCATCCATTGCTGTTACCGCCACAACCAGGATTCAGACAGAGTGCAACTCCATACTGGTAAGGCGATGGGGACAATGGTGTGGTGTGTGGCATAGCACTTTTAGCTTATCCTCACCTTCCTTCCTTCCTTTTCACTTGATTAGTCAACGTTTTATCACTCTTGACCAGAGCAGGGAGGAAGGAAGTGAGGTTGGAAACACCATGTTTTCCTGGCAGAATGATTGGGCAGTGGCGGACACTCTTTCCTTTTGGGTCATTGTTTCCAGATATGTTCATCCTTTGGTCATCAGAGAAAAAAATTACTCATCCAGAGCTTGTTTTACCCCAGGGGTTCACAAACTTTTAGTGTTTTCCTCTTTCTCTGCTCCTGTAGATGGGATTCTGACCTTCCTGAAGAACAACAAGCCAATGGATGCTCTCTGTGTCCTGGGACTCACCCTTGCAGACCTCTACCCCTGCGAGACGTGGAGCTTCACTTTTGGGAAGTTTTTGCCAGGCCAAGGTTTGCTTTCTATTTTGTAATTTTCCATAATAATAAGACACTCTTATGGTTTTCTGTTGGTGAGCAGATGGCGGATATTGGATGGCACATGTTCTGTATCAAAAACTAGGGATGATGTGCTCTATCCAATGCAATTTTCTGAATCAGCACCTCAAAGAACCAAACCAAATCTAAAGTTGACCAAAAACTGATTCGTAACCTTTGGTCCCTGGTCAAACTGGTCCCTGGTCAAAGTGGTTTCTGGTCAAAGTGGCCCCTGGTCAACTGGGCCCTGTCCAAAGTGGTCCCTGGTCAAAGTGGTCCCTGATCAAGTAGTCCCTGGTCAAAGTGGTCTCTGGTAAAACCGGTCCCTGGTCCAACTGGTCCCTGCTCAACAGGTCCTTGGTCAAAGTGGTCCCTGGCCAAAGTAGTTTCTGGTCAAAGTGGTCCCTGGTCAAAGTGGTCTCTGGTCAAACTGGTCCCTGGCCAAAGTGGTCCCTGGTCAAAGTGGTTCCTGGTCAAAGTGGTCCTTGGTCAAAGTGGTCCCTGGTCAAAGTGGTTCCTGGTCAAAGTGGTCCTTGGTCAATGTGGTCCCTGGTCAAAGCAGTTCCTGGTCAAACTGGTCCCTGGCCAAAGTGGTTTTTGGTCAAAGTGGTCCCTGGTTAAAGTGGTCCCTGGTCAAAGTGGTCCCTAGTCAAAGTGGTCCCTGGTCAAAGTGGTCCCTGGTCAAAGTGATCCCTAGTTAAAGTGGTCCCTGGTCAAAGTGGTTCCTGATCAAAGTGGTCCCTGGTTAAAGTGGTCCTTGGTCAAAGTGGGCCCTGGTCAATGTGATCCCTGGTCAAAGTGGTCCCTGGTCAAAGTCAGCTGATCACCGGTCAACAAAGGATTCCCCCAGGCAGTAAAAAGACACACCTAAAAACTGTCAGAACATCAAATGCTAATCAAGGTGGCCAACTGAAACCTTCACACCTAGCTCCAAGAGACAAGAGATCTTTCTCCCGCCCTGAACTTTCACCAGATATATAAACTACATTTTCCTAGTTTCCAACAGACCTCACAACCTTGGAGGATGCCTGCCAGAAATGCAGGTGAAACGTCAGGAGAGAATGCTTCTAGAACATGGCCATGCTGCCTGAAAATCCTACAATCCAATTAAGATCGATTCACAAGGTTTCCCAATAAATGTTACAGCTCCTCTCCTAAACCAGCTTCCCATATATTTTTGAATTGCTTATTTCAGAGCAAAACAATGGTAGAGATTGTAGACTACGCATCCTGAAATCATGCTAGTTTTTCTGCTTTTATGCCATTTTCTATCACCTGCTCTTTAAATTCCTTCAATGGCAGATGAATGTATCATGAGGCGGAGGGTGTCAATGAGCCTTGTTGGGGAGTCGTTACCTTGATGGGTTCTCTCTCTTTCTCTCTTTTATATAAGGCAGCAATTATGTTGTTAAACTATTCAGGAGCTAGGCCACTTTGATAGATGTGTGTGGGGGAGAAGGCAAAAACAGGAGTCTAATACCCGTTAAAATTGCAATGGGTTTAACTAATGGTTTTATGTTGATGTTTTACACAGCCTAATTCTTTAATTTGGGTTATTGCAGCGTCGTTATTCTGGTTTCTAAGCCTCCTAGGACTTTACTGAGGCTGGAATTCCCATATTGAAATAGTCACACAGATAATTGCAAACTGGGGCAAGCTCCCAAAGAAATAGTGCACCCGAGGGTGCCGTGTTGTGTTTGAGTTGTGAAGATTCTTGTGCCTGGATGGGGCAGGTTCAATAATAATCCTAATTTCTCCTCTGGCTCAAGTCCCTCCAGAAGGGAAACGTGAACAGGCTGAGAAAGACATCTTCTCTATATCAATAAAATTGTAATGTTTGTTTGTGGGATTAACACAACTCAAAATCCACGGGACGAATTGACACCAAATTTGGACACAAGACATCTACTAATCCAAGGAGTGACCATCACTCAAAAAATATGATTTTGTCATTTGGAGTTGTAGTTGCTGGGATTTATAGTTCACCTACAATCAAAGAGCATTCTGAACTCCACCAATGATGGAATTGAACCAAATTTGGCACACAGGACTCTCATGACCAACAGAAAAGACTAGAAGAGTTTGGAGGGCATTGACCTTGAGTCTGGAAGTTGTAGTTTACCTACATCTAGAGAGCACTGTGGTCTCAAACAATGAAGCTTGAGGGGCTTCAGCCCCCCCCCCCCCCCCCCCCCCCGAAATTCTCAGGGTGGTTTGCGAGAAGGCCTTACTGGTACATTATCTAAACTGTTATGTTTATTCATATCATGATCTGATCACCATGCTCAATATATCCCATATGCATGGGGGTATTGGGACAATGATACAAAAGATTTGCTAGGGTAGATTCTGAGCCCCTCCCAATCAAACTCAGCCCCCTCCCCAATCAAAATCCTGGCTACAGGCCTAGTGAGAGGGGAATTTAATTTGCATGTTGTTTGAATTCTTAGTTGTAATCCTCTTGCAGACATAACATCGTATTATTTTTGGAAAGTTTCCCAATGGATGACGCCTATAGACCCATGTGTACATGATGGAGAGCGAATGGATGGGCGTCTATGGAAATGAAACTGACCGCTCTCACCTCTGTTTTCCTCCTTCCATAGAAGTTGGCGTCTGTAGCTTTGCCAGGTTTTCCGGTGAATTCCCCCAGGTGGGCTGCACCACTTTGAACCCATCGCCGTGGAGGCAAGAGGTACACGATGACGTCCTGGAGCAGGCCAGGAGCCAGGCCTTGCTGTTCAACCTCCTGGAGATGCTCCAGTGTTGCAAGGTCAGTTGGGCCCTTTTCACAGAGCTACAGCTTGGTGTTTGGAGCACATGCTTTGCCAGAGTTGTGCCACATTTGGAAAGCAGGATGCATCTAGAAACCAAGTTACACCATTAATCTAGATCTAGGGAAGTCATGCTCCCCATGCTCTATTCCACTTTAGTTACACCACACCTGGAATATTGTGTCCAATTCTGGGCACCACAATTCAAGAGAGATATTGACAAGCTGGAATGTGTCCAGAGGGGGGCGACTCAAATGATCAAGGGTCTGGAGAACAAGCCCTATGAGGAGCGGCTTAAGGAAGCTGGGCATGTTTAGCCTGAAGAAGAGAAGGCTGAGAGGAGATATGATAGCCATGTATAAATATGTGAGAGGAAGCCACAGGGAGGAGAGGAGCAAGCTTGTTTTCTGCTTCCCTGGAGACTAGGACGCAAGGGAACAATGGCTTCAAACTCCAAGAGAGGAGATTCCATCTGAACATGAGGAAGAACTTCCTGACTCTGAGAGTCGTTCAGCAGTGGAACTCTCTGCCCCGGAGTGTGGTGGAGGCTCCTTCTTTGGAAGCTTTTAAACAGAGGCTGGATGGCCATCTGTCAGGGGTGATTTGAATGCAATATTCCTGCTTCTTGGCAGAATGGGGTTGGACTGGATGGCCCATGTGGTCTCTTCCAACTCTATGATTCTATGATTTTATGATTAAAATGAACAAGACTGTACCCAGTATACTGATAATAATAATAATAATAATAATAATAATAATAATAATAATGTTGTTGTTCATTCGTTCAGTCGTCTCTGACTCCTCGTGACTTCATGGACCAGCCCACGCCAGAGCTCCCTGTCGGCCGTCACCACCCCCAGCTCCTTCAAGGTCAGTCCAGTCACTTCAAGGATGCCATCCATCCATCTTGCCCTTGGTCGGCCCCTCTTCCTTTTGCCTTCCACTTTCCCCAGCATCATTCCCTTCTCTAGGCTTTGCTGTCTCCTCATGATGTGGCCAAAGGACTTCCACTTTGTCTCTAGTCTCCTTCCCTCCAGTGAGCAGTCGGGCTTTATTTCCTGGAGGATGGACTGGTTGGATCTTCTCGCAGTCCAAGGCACTCTCAGAACTTTCCTCCAACACCACAGCTCAAAAGCATCGATCTTCCTTCGCTCAGCCTTCCCGAGTCCAGCTCTCACATCCGTAGGTGACTACAGGGAATACCATGGCTTTGACTAGGCAATGGATCTTTGTTGCCAGTCTGATGTCTCTACTCTTTCCTATTTTATCGAGACTGGACATTGCTCTCCTCCCAAGAAGGAAGCGTCTTCTGATTTCCTGGCCACAGTCTGCATCTGCACTCATCTTTGCACCTAGAAATACAACGTCTGTCACGGCCTCCACATTTTCTCCCTCTATTTTCCAGTTGTCAATCATTCTTGTTGCCATAATCTTGGTTTTTTTGATATACTTTATATATATTCCACTCTTATCTCCCCAAGGGGACTCAGAGTGTATTAAAGAACACATACATGGCAAACATTCAATGCCATTATGCAAAGACAGACAATACATAGACAGAGGCAAGGCTTCCCTCTTTTTCGTTTCCGGCATCTGGAGGCTGTGCTTGACTCGGCCATCGGGAGGTGCTGTTGTTCCATTGCAAGGATAGAGGAACTCTAAGGCATGAGGTGGGTAGTGAAGAAGGGCAGGTAATAGGGAGTTCACGATGTGGTACTATCAAGGATGTATTTATTCTTGATTTCTCACCTGACAGGTCACATGCCATGAGATCTGTCACCTGATTGGCTTGGGAAACTGCCGCTGGCTTCAGTGCATCATGCAAGGCGCCTTGAGTTTGGATGAAGTTCTGCTGCGACCGCTGGAGCCCTGCCCAATTTGCCTTCGGAAGCTGCAGTATGTCGTGGGTTTCAAGCTCATTGAGCGCTACAGGGTAAGAGAACTGAAGAAGAGTGGAGCCCACACCCTTCCTCCTCCTGGGCAGAATCTTGAGTCATTGGTGGGTGAATTGCACTGGATAGATGTTGTTTTCACAGTGCAATTGCTTGGGGCAGTTCAATTGTCTGGTGGGAGGGATCTATGTTTAGCACTGAAGGTCCATCCTATAATGCAGTGTTTCTCAACCTTCCCAATGCCGCCACCCTGTAATACAGTTCCTCATGTTGTGGTGACCCCCAACCATAACATTATTTTTGTTGCTACTCCATAACTGTAATTTTGCTACTGTTATGAATCGTCATGTAAATATCTGATATGCAGGATGGATTTTCATTCATTGGACCAAATTGGGCACAGACACCCAATACACCCACATTTGAATACTGGTGGGATTGATTTTGTCATTTGGGAGTTGTCGTTGCTTGGATTTTTGTTAGTTTTGGCCCAGCTAGCAAAGATAGCCCTTCAAACCTTTTCCAAATCTTAAGAGGCAGATTGTATTGTAGGGACCATCAATAGGATGCAGGCCAGCGTCAACTGAATGTGTAAACATAAACAATATGGGTTGTTGTAGGGTTTTTTGGGCTATATGGCCATGGTCTAGAGGCATTCTCTCCTGACGTTTCCCCTGCATCTATGGCAAGCATCCTCAGAGGTAGTGAGGTCTGTTGGAACTAGGTGTGAATGTTTCAACTGACCACCTTGATTAGCATTTGATGGCCTGGCAGTGTCTGGGGCAATCTTTTGTTGAGAGATTAGATATCCTTGTTTGTTTCCTCTCTGTTGTTGTGCTGTTGTAATTTTAGAGTTTTTTAATACTGGTAGCCAGATTTTGTTCATTTTCATGGTTTCCTCCTTTCTGTTGAAATTGTCCACATGCTTGTGGATTTCAATGGCTTCTCTGTGTAGCCTGACATGGTGATTGTGAGAGTGGTCCAGCATTTCTGTGTTCTCAAATAATATGCTGTGTCCGGGTTGGTTCACCACAACATGAGGAACTGTATTTAAGGGGTCACGGCATTGGGAAGGTTGGGAAACACTGCTATATCTAGTCCCAGTAATTAATCTGGAAGCTGACCTTTGTGTTAACTACACTTTGCAAACAGTCTTCAAAGGCAGCCCCATGTAGGGTGCATTTCAGTCGTCATTCTGCGTATTGGGTATTTGTGCCAAATTTAGTCCAGTGAATGAAAATACATCCTGCATATCAGATATTTACATTGTGATTCATAACAGCAACAAAATGACAGTTATGAAGTAGTGACAAAAATAATGTTATAGTTGGGGGTCACCACAACATGAGAACTGTATTAAGGGGTCGCAGCATTAGGAAGGTTGAGAAACACTGGTGTGACCATTTCTTTTCATTCCAGCCCCAGTGGCTCACTGTTGCCTTCATTTCCCAACTGTTGAAGTCATAGAATCATAGAATCCTTGAGTTGGAAGAGACCTCGTGGGCCATCCAGTCCAACCCATTCTGCCAAGAAGCAGGAATATTGCATTCAAAGCACCCCTGACAGATGGCCATCCAGCCTCTGTTTAAAAGCTTCCAAAGAAGGAGCCTCCACCACACTCCGGGGCAGAGAGTTCCACTGCTGAACGTCTCTCACAGTCAGGAAGTTCTTCCTCATGTTCAGATGGAATCTCCTCTCTTGTAGTTTGAAGCCATTGTTCCTGCGTCCTAGTCTCCAAGGAAGCAGAAAACAAGCTTGCTCCCTCCTCCCTGTGGCTTCCTCTCACATATTTATACATGGCTATCATATCTCCTCTCAGCCTTCTCTTCTTCAGGCTAAACATGCCCAGCTCCTTAAGCCGCTCCTCCTAGGGCTTGTTCTCCAGACCTTTTATCATTTTAGTCGCTCTCCTCTGGACACATTCCAGCTTGTCAATATCTCTCTTGAATTGTGGTGCCCATAACTGGACACAATATTCCAGATGTGGTCTAACCAAAACAGAATAGAGGGGTAGCATTACTTCCCTAGATCTAGACACTATGCTCCTATTGATGCAGGCCAAAATCCCATTGGCTTTTTTTGCCGCCACATCACATTGTTGGCTCATGTTTAACTTGTTGTCCACGAGGACTCAACCATAAAATTATTTTGGTTGCTACTTCATAACTGTCATTTTGCTGCTGTTATGAATCATAATGTAAATATCTGATATGGATATGTATTTTCATTCACTGGACTGATATGCCCAAATCTGAATACTGGTGGGGTTAGGGGGCGGGGTTGATTTTGCCATTTGGGAGTTGTAGTTGCTGGGATTTATAGTTCACCTGCAATCAAAGAGCATTTTGAACTCCACCAACGATTGGAATTGGGCCAAACTTGGCACACAGAACTCCCATGACCAACAGAAAATACTGGAGGGGTTTGGTGGGCATTGACCTTGAGTTTTGAAGTTGTAGTTTGCCTACATCCAGAGACCATTGTGGACTCAAACAATGATGGAACTGGACTAATCTTGGCACGAATACTCAATACGACCAAATGTGAGCACTGGTGGAGTCTGGGGAAAATAGTCTTTGACATTTTGGGAGTTGTAGTTGCTGGGATTTATAGTTCACCTACAATCAAAGAGCATTCTGAACCCCACCAATGATAGAATTGGGCCAAACTTCCCACACAGAACCCCCATGACCAACAGAAAATACTGTGTTTTCTGATGGTCTTTGATGACCCCTCTGACACTCCCTCATGACCCCTCCAGGGGTCCCGACCCCCAGGTTGAGAAACACTGCCTTAGGGGGTATTAAAAGCATGCTTGTTTTTGTTCTTTGGCACAGAAACTTTATGCTTGGATGCAAACTATTTCATCCACCTGGCTCAGCCAAGAACTGTCCGAATCGTCTCTCTCCGAGGACGTTTTGCAACCAAGCACGGACTCTGGGATGGATTGTGAGAACGACTCCGAGGCCGTCACGTCCGTTTCCGAACCCCTGACACCAGACACTTGCAGCCAAGCTGTTTCCACGTTGCAGGACCTGGATCTCGACGATCCGTCTTGTTCCCTGGCGGATGCCCCTAGCCAGGAACAGCTGGGCATTGCCCCCAAACCCTCGGACATGATCAAGGAGTACACGCTTTGGCTCCAGATGTGCATTGCTGCGCTTGAAAAAGACGTCTCCGAGGAGGAGATTCTGCAAGTGGACAGGGCCGTGGACGCGATGGCGCGGTGGGAAATGTTCACAGGACGGCTGCCCAACGCGCGGAGGGAGCTCCCGCTGCCCACAGACAGTCCGGGGCTACGGAAGGTCCTGGGAGACAAGTTCTCCTCCTTGAGAAGGAAACTGAGCTCCAGAAAGTCGCCCAAACCAGAATCCTCCCCTCGTCGCTGGAAATGGGAGGAGAGCTAGCCCCAGCGAGAGACTCCGACTGATCCTGGGGTGGGATGGGGAAATCCTGGGGGTTTAGATGTGGGTTTTGTTAGCCTCTCCTCGTTATGCCTCTTGTCCTTTTCACTGCACGTTTTTGTCATTCCGTCGAGAAAAGAGCCGAGAACTCTCTCCAAGTGCAATAAAAGAAGCTTCTTTATTGAGGCCTGGTCTTTTCCTTCTTGAAGGAGATCTTTCGTTTAGGTAAGGCAAAGCTTTCCCCTTGACATTAAGTCTAGTTGTGTCCAACTCTGGGGGTTGGTGCTCATCTCCATTTCTAAGCCAAAGAGCTGGCGTTGTCCATAGATGCCTCCAAGGTCATGTGGCCGGCCCTGCTCGCGCTTCCACCTGCATCGCAGGCGCGATTGGTGGGGACGGGAGAGAGGGCCTTCTCGGTGGTGGCTCCTCGACTCTGGAACTCACTTCCTAAGGGCATCAAGCATGCCCCAACTCTGGCTGTCTTTAGGAGGAGCTTGAAAACGTGGTTGTTCCAGTGTGCCTTCCCAGAATAAAAGCACTTTATCCTCCAAAAGCACTTTATACTGATTTACGCCTGCTTGTATCTCTTTACTAATGCTCCACTTCTTATCCATGTCCAGCATTATTTTTAAATTTTGATGACATTTGGCCTAGCCACAGATTTTAAAGGTGTGTTGTGCTATTGTTAAAGTTTAAGCTATCTGTGTATGTGATTTAATTGCTTGTATTGTTGTTGTTATTGATGGAAATTGATGTATTGTGGGCTCGGCCTCATGTAAGCCGCACCGAGTCCCTTGGGGAGATGGTAGCGGGGTATAAATAAAGTTTTATTATTATTATTTATTATTATTATTATTATGACTGCATGGAGTGCTGTTACCTTCCCGCCGGAGCGGTACCTATTGATCTACTCACATTTGCATGTTTTTGAACTGCTAGGTTGGCGGAAGCTGGGGCTAACAGTGGGAGCTCACCCCGCTTACAGGATAAATAAAGTTTTATTATTATTGTTATTATTTATTATTATTATTATGACTGCATGGGGTGCTGTTACCCTCCTACCGGAGCAGTACCTATTGATCTACTCACATTTGCATGTTTTTGAACTGTTAGGTTGGCGGAAGCTGGGGCTAACAGTGGGAGCTCACCCCGCTTACAGGATAAATAAAGTTTTATTATTATTGTTATTATTTATTATTATTATTATGACTGCATGGAGTGCTGTTACCCTCCTACCGGAGCAGTACCTATTGATCTACTCACATTTGCATGTTTTTGAACTGTTAGGTTGGCAGAAGCTGGGGCTAACAGTGGGAGCTCACCCGCTCAGGATAAATAAAGTTTTATTATTATTATTATTATTATTATTTATTATTATTATTATGACTGCATGGAGTGCTGTTACCTTCCCGCCGGAGCGGTACCTATTGATCTACTCACATTTGCATGTTTTTGAACTGTTAGGTTGGCGGAAGCTGGGGCTAACAGTGGGAGCTCACCCCGCTTACAGGATAAATAAAGTTTTATTATTATTGTTATTATTTATTATTATTATTATGACTGCATGGGGTGCTGTTACCCTCCTACCGGAGCAGTACCTATTGATCTACTCACATTTGCATGTTTTTGAACTGTTAGGTTGGCGGAAGCTGGGGCTAACAGTGGGAGCTCACCCCGCTTACAGGATTTGAACCGCCGACCTTTTGGTCAGCAATTTACATGTAGGCAGTTATTTTGAGACAAGCACGCCCTCCGCTCTTCCCTCTCGTCACACTCAGGAAGAAGCAAGCTTTGCTGTAGATATCAGTTCCAGCATTCCAAGACTAAAGCGCTGGTGACCCTCTTCTGATAATGTCACCTTTTTAAGGAGCCAGCTATAAATAACAACTGTCAGAATCAAGTCATTTGAGGGGCCCACATGCTCTGTAACCTTTGCACATCTCCAGAAACATTTGGAAACCTTTGCACGGAAACAAAGCTCGTATGGAAATGGTTTTCCGAAGGGCACTCTTGGAAAGACGTTGGGCTTTTTTTCCTTCCAAAATAGGAAAGTGGCAGAATATAAACCTTCCTTAAAATCATAGAATTATAGAGTTGGAAGAGACCTCGTGGGCCATCCAGTCCAACCCCTGCCAAGAAGCAGGAAAATCACATTCAAAGCACCCAACAAATGGCCATCCAGTCTCTGTTTCAAAGCTTCCAAAGAAGGCACCTCTATCACACTCCAGGGCAGAGAGTTCCACTGCTGAACAGCTCTCACAGTCTCACCTGGCCCTCTGTTTAAAAGTTTTGAGGACCTCTGGTCTAGATCCAGGGAAGTCATACTACCCATGCTCTATTCTGCCTTGGTTAGACCACAATTGAAGAGAAATATTGACAAGCTGGAATGTGTCCAGAGGAGGGCGACTAAAATGATCAAGGGTCTGGAGAACAAGCCCTATGAGGAGCGGCTTAAAAGCTGGGCATGTTTAGCCTGAAGAAGAGAAGGCTGAGAGGAGACATGATAGCCATGTATAAATATGTGAGAGGAAGTCACAGGGAGGAGGGAGCAAGCTTGTTTTCTTCTTCCCTGGAGACTAGGACACGGAACAATGGCTTCAAACTACAAGAAAGGAGATTCCATCTGAACATGAGGAAGAACTTCCTGACTGTGAGAGCCGTTCAGCAGTGGAACTCTCTGCCCGGAGTGTGGAGGCTCCTTCTTTGGAAGCTTTTAAACAGAGGCTGGATGGCCATCTGTCAGGGGTGATTTGAATGCAATATTCCTGCTTCTTGGCAGAATGGGGTTGGACTGGATGGCCCATGAGGTCTCTTCCAACTCTATGATTCTATGATTCTATGAAGTTCTTCCTCATGTTCAGATGGAATCTCCTTTCTTGTAGTTTGAAGCCATTGTTCCAGGTCCTAGTCTCCAGGGAAGCAGAAAACAAGCTTGCTCCCTCCTCCCTGTGGCTTCCTCTCACATATTTATACATGGCTATCATATCTCCTCTCAGCCTTTTCTTCTGCACTCAACATGCCCAGCTCCTTAAGCCGCTCCTCATAGGGCTTATTCTCCAGACCCTTGATCATTTTAGTCGCCCTCTTCCTCTGGAACCATTCCAGCTTGTCAATATTTCTCTTCAATTGTGGTCTAACCAAGGCAGAATAGAGCATGGGTAGTATGACTTCCCTGGATCTAGACCAGAGGTCCTCAAACCTTTTAAACAGAGGGCCAGGTCACAGTCCCTCAAACTGTTGGAGGGCCAGATTATAATTTGAAAAAAAAATTGAATGAATTCCAATGCACACTGCACATATCTTTTTTGTGGTGCAAAAAAACACCTAAAAACAATACAATAATTAAAATGAAGAATAATTTTAACAAATATAAATTTATTAGTATTTCAGAGAGAAGTATAAGCCTGCTTTTGGCTCATGAGAGAGGATTGTTGTTATTGTTACATGCTTTCAATTGGCTTCAGACTTAGGTTGACCCTGAGCGAGGGCCGGTTAAATGACCCTGGAGGGCCGTATTCGCCCCCTGGGCCTTAGTTTGAGGACCCCTGATCTAGACACTCTGCTCCTATTGATGCAGGCCAAAATCCCATTGGCTTTTTTTTGCCACCACATCACATTCCTGGCTCATGTTTAACTTGTTGTCCACGGGGACTCCAAGATCTTTTTCACACGTACTGCTCTCGAGTCAGGCATTGTCCCCCATTCTGTATCTTTGCATATATTTTTCTGCCTAAGTGGAGTATCTTGCATTTGTCGCTGTTGCACTTCATTTTGTTATTTTTGGCCCATCTCTCTAATCTGTTAAATGAGTAATTCCCAATCTTTTTTTTTTTTTTTGACCAGGGACCCCTCTCCAACATTAGTACCAAAAGGGTTATGAATCAGTTTTTGGCCAACTTTAGATTTGGTTTGTTTATTTGGGGTGCTGATTCAGAAAATTGCATTGTATAGACCACATCAGCTCTGGTTTCTGATACAGAACATATGCCATCCAGGAGTCACCATCTGCTCACCCGCAGAAAACCATGTTTAATAATCTAGAGCTGATGTGTTAGTAGGAATATTTCATGGGTAGTCAGCCTATCCCTTCCCAACATCCCTGTTGCTTTGGCTCTATAAGAGGGTCTCGTGAGACCAGTCGCTCTTACTGCCATGTGGTTTCAAGTCAATGGTGTAGTAATGGTGAGGCCATGGACTATATTTCTGTTCTTGTGGACCACTGGTGGTACACGGCCCGCAGACTGGGAACCACTACTTTAAGCAGTATACAAATACAACACCCAAAGGTATGTAGGAAATGTCGAAAGCCAAATCCAGTATTTTCTACACAGCATAGCATCACCAGGATATGTATGTGCCTTTCAAGTCTATTGACTTATGACCCCATAAATGGGTTGTTGTAGGTTTTTTCGGGCTATATGGCCATGGTCTAGAGGCATTCTCTCCTGACGTTTCGCCTGCATCTATGGCAAGCATCCTCAGAGGTAGTGAGGTAACCTTGGAGGCGTCTATAGACAACGCCGGCTCTTTGGCTTAGATATGGAGATAAGCACCAACCCTCAGAGTCAGACACGACTAGACTTAATGCCAGGGGAAAGCTTTACACACACACACACACATATATATATATATATATATATATATATACACACACACACACACACACATACATACACACACACACATACACACACACACACGCATATGCCCTCCCCCCTAGTGGCACAGTGGATTAAACCGCTGAGCTGCTGAACTTGCTGACTGAAAGGTTGGTGGTTCAGATCCGTTTGATGTGGTGAGCTCCCGCTGTTAGCTGCAGCTTTTGCCAACCTAGCAGTTCGAAGACATGCAAATGTGAGTAGATTAAAAGGTGCAATTCTGATGGGAAGGTAACAATGCTTCATGCAGTCATGCCGGCCCCATGACCTTGGAGGCGTCTATGGACAACTCTTTGGCTTGGGCATGGAGATGAGCACTAACCTCCAGAGTTGGGCGCGACTAGACTTAATGTCAGGGTAAAGCTTTTCCTATACACACACACGGGCCCGCTGGTGGTGCAGCGGGTTAAACCGCTGAGCTGCTGAACTTGCTGACCGAAAGGTTGGCAGTTCGAATCCGGGGAGTTGGGTGAGCTCCTGCTGTTAGGCCCAGCTTCCGCCAACCTAGCAGTTTGAAAACATGCAAAT